TTGTTTTATAGTTTTCACACTCTGTTGGGTCACCTTTCTTTGGGATTGGAACAAATATAGATATCTTCCAGTAGCCCTAGCCTTTATCATTGCATTAAAACATTTCATAAGGTTAAACAAATTGCTAACTATTTATATAGTTAGATATGCTTTTTGCTGCTCTCAATGTTTTTTTTGTAGTATAATATTTATTACTCAGTCTCTGTAAAAAAGATACTGAAATATCTTCAAATGATTAAACATTAAATTACTGTGTGATGAAGATATTTCACCTTTAATTATTTTCCCAAAAGAATGGAAAACACATCTTAATTAAATGCTCTCAATGTTTTAAGTTGGACTTTACTATTATATTTCTCACCTGGCCTTCTGCAATCATTTTCTCACTGACTTTCTCAAACCTTCTCTCCTCTGACCTCTAGTCATGTTGGAAAAATATGCTACATTGTGTAGTGAAGGTGTTTAATTCTGTTGCAAAATATTTTAAATTTATATTTGGACATAAAAGATGGTACCGATTACATAATAGACTCAAAACTTATTGCCATAGGTTGAAAATGACACGTAGCTGATCCTCCAATGAGTTTTCATAAACTGTAAACTGCTCAAGAGAAGACTTCCCATCTCCCATGGAGCAACTGGAGGATTCAAACTGCAGGCCTTTGGGTTGGCAGCACAACTATCTACCCACTAGGTCATCAGAGCTGCATAATAAAGAAAAGACTAAAATGCAGATATGTGCATTTAATAAAAAATCTCTGTTTGGACCTGAAATTACATACTAACTTTGCACCATCATTTGTTTATAAGCACACTTCCCAGTTTGTTCTCCTAGTTCAATTGCAAGAGTCTGTTTGGTGGGAGTGAGGCGGAGGTTTTGTCATTTTGAGTAGGATGGGATTGTCTTTATTCTGGTCACGTTGACAACCCATTTTGGGATGGGAATGGGACCAAAGACTAACTGAGCAGATGAGAAATGATCAGAGGATGCTGTTCTTCTTTACCCAGGTCTATAGGGAGTTCTGCTGGCATAGTAGGTATTACGCTGCTAATGCAAAAGTTGTGACACTCTGGTGGTTCAAATCCACTAGTAGCTCCTTGAGAGAAAGAGGGACAATCTCCTCTTATGTAATTTACAGCCTTGGAAACAGACTGGAGTGTCAGTGATGAGTTGATTCCAGCTCAACAGCAATGAGTGAGGGAGTGATAGAGATGGGAAGAATGGCCTATGAGAAATGCAGAGGACTCTTCCATGTTCCATTAATGGAATATAAAGCTCCAAATTGTTGACAGCATTGTTATTTCCTCTCAGATGTGTTTTTATTTGATAGTTTTAACTATGAAAATTCCCAAAGCAGCTTTAATGTCACTGTCTGTAAAAGGAAAAAACTACAAACTGGAATAAAGAGACAACATCTGCAAGATACGATAACTAAAACACTGTGATTACTTTGTGATGATATTTCACACAAAATTAGAAATAAAATATCTCCATAGTGTGCTGTCAAAAGCACAGAGGACATAGCAGACAAAGCCAGGCCTGTCATTTTGTACACAGTTAAATGGAAGACAGCTTGACTCCATCCACATTATATGCAGAAAGTACAACCAGAGTGAATCCCTTAGTCATGTAGTAGACTTTCATTGAGCTTCTGAGATGCTCATAAATAGTCATCATTAAGATTAGTAAGGACAATACACAGAGGTCATCAGAGAGTGAATGCTATTTCACTTGTTCATGCTCCCAAATGGAACCTTTATCCTGTTTGATCCAATAATATTACTTAGCAGTTAGCAATTTTTTTTTAGTTAGCAATTTTTTATTTTCACACTCTGTTACTCTGAAGCCAAGGGTTTAAATTATCTTATATCTACACAAAGTTCTGTCTGTATACCTAATGCAGATCTATGTATTAGAATTGAATTTTGACACAAACACAATCATTTGTTTCTTGTCCTCTAGAGAGACTCCATCTTTAGAGAGCAAATACAAATAAAACTGTGGTGCCAGAAATTCTCCAACTCAACAGAAGGATGATGACTACCGGGGGTTATACTTGGGAGAGGTGAGGACTATTGATTTAATTTGGAGTCTGGGGAAAAACTATTTGAGGTCCTTGTGGTGGTGTTTTCGCTAATTGCTGTCAAGTCAAGCACGACTCATTGAGACCCTGTGAACAAAAGACCTGAAGCTTTTCTATAGCTATTGTCATTTATCAAAATTCATAGTTTCTAGAGGCATGTTGCTTAAGAAGTGGATGACACCCCTGCTTCCAAATAGTTTAGCAGGTCTTCAACTATGTCAGCAGATATCGACTCTCCAAAATATTTCAAGATAAAATTCATTCTCAATGCTTCAGGAACAACAATCCTGGAGCACCTCTAGAGTGTCAGATACTAAGACTTTTACTGTTTTCATTCATATATTTAAGTTTCTCAAGAGCCGCAAGAGGGAAGAATTATTATTGCTCCAATTTTGCAAAGGAGGAAATACAAAAAGAGTTTAGGGAATTTGATCAATACCATACAGAAAAAAAAAAATAGGAGTTTATAGATAAAATTTGATCTCGAGGCAAATGCTTTCTTGTCTTCAGTAAAATTCATGTACTTAATAAAGTGTCTGGGACCATTTCCAGGCTGGGAAGATGAGCAGAACAGCTGGATTCTGCAAAGGAGTATTTTCTGGTTTGGGGTTGAGACTAGGGTGTGGCTATTGCTCATATTATGGTGTGAGCTGATTGGGTTTGGTCTTGTATTTAAAAGGCTTTTGGGCCCTTGGGCCTGGTGTTTTCTGGATCTTCCAAATTAAACAGGCTTGGGAGCAGGAGTGGCATCCACTTCCAGAAAAGCTAGCCTCTGGAAACTCTATGAACTTGGAGAAAAGATGAAGAAAGTTTTGTGTTCACGACTTTTTTTCATGGGGTCACTATGGGTCATCTACAACTCTATGGCACTTAACAACAATGAAGTGTGTCCAAGGTGATTCATCCCCTGTGCTAGCATTGGGCTCAGGAAGGACTTCTGGTTGTATCCAGGCAGTAGCTTTGAGGTTGTGTGGCCTCTGTTACAGTGTCTCAACTGTATAACCTGCATGAATTGCCACACCAGCTTGATCTCACTGTTTATTTTTAATAGTTATTATAGCTTTATTGAGGTATAATTCACCCATTTGAAGTGTACAATTCAATGGTTTTTTGCATATTCACAAAATTGTGACATCACCACAATCACTAATAGAATATTTTTTGTCACCTTCAAAATAAATCCTGTGCACAGTATCATTCGTTCCCTATTTCCTCTCAAACTCAGACCATCCTTGTGCTGTAGCCTTAGACTTGTCTCCTTGTCTCTGTAGATTTGCCTGTTTTGTACATTTCATTCAAATGGATCATACAATATGTGGTATTTTGTGTTTGGTTTCTTTTACTCAGAATATTATTTTCAAGGATCATCCATATTGTAGTATGTATTCTTATGACAATAATATTTCACTACATGCATACACCATATTTTATTTATCCACCTGATAGACATTTGGGTTATTCCCACTTTGTAGTTATTATGATTATTGTTGCTAGGAACATTTGTATACAGATTTTTGTGTGGACATATATTCTCAATTCTTTTGAGCATATAGCATGGAGTAGAATTGCTAGGTCATATGGTAGCTATGTTTAACTTTCTGAGCACTTGCCAGTCTATTTTTCCGCCTTGAGAGTGGGCACTAACTCTCTGAAATGGACTATTTTTGTAAGTGACTCTTCTCATTCCATCAAGGCAGTTTGGCATAAGATACCAAGAGCAATTGACCGTGTCTTCAATAAACAAATATCTAGTGTTTGGTTAGGGAGCTCTGGTGGCTTAGTGTCAAGAAATTGCACTGCAATACCAAAGGCATGCAGTTCAAATTCACCAGCTGCTCCATGGGAGAAGGATGGACAATCTCCTCCTAGGTTATTACTGTCCCTGAAAACCTGCTGGAGGGTCAGTAACGAGTCAGTTCTGACTTGGTTGGTAACAAATGGTCACTTCTGGTAAGAGAAACCAAATGGAAAACTTACAGCAATGTTAAGTGATTGTCCCACCTTGTCTCACTATCAGTTCCTTTTAGTTTGTACATAAAACAAAGAACAACTAATAGTAATAATAACAGCTAACTACTGAACAGTCTTGATGTGCTAACAATGTATGAAGTACACATATTGCATCATTTAATATTAGAACCATTAAAATATTTTAGAATTCTTACATTGTGAAAGTAAATTTAAAAACATTAAAAGATTTGACAGTTGTGTTCCATCTCTACTGATGACTAAATAGACAAAATAGCAAAGTAAGCCAAAACAAAAAGGACTCATAGATGTACAGAAAAACTACAAAAAGAATTATTAACTGCCTTACATGAAAAACTGTTTCATGAAGGATGGAAGGATGTTATCGTGAGAAGGTGGGAAACTGAGTGGATGACTGTTACTGTGATACTCATGTGATGCTATCTCATGGTTTATAGTTTTCTATGGGGACACAGAATTTATTACTAAGTAAAATCTGATAGAAGTGAATAAATATTAACAGAAGAAAAATGAGGAACTGCTCTATCTCAATGATTTTTTTTTTTTTGTGGAAAGATTTCCTGTTCCAAAGTTTCCATCTCTTCTTTAGGGGGTAACAAGTAAATAGAATCAAACAAACAGAGCAACAACAGAAATTAAATCCTACATAGTATTTGGTTTGTGGTATGTTTTAAAGTAGCAATAAGAAAATTTATATTCATCCCAAGTATCAAAGCTATAAATATACTGTTCAGAAAGACTAATAATGATAATTTGTAAAGTAATGACACTTCCTACTTTATTTAGAAAAAATTTTAAAATATGTCAGGAAATCCACCAGTAGGCTTTTTCCTATGAATAAAATAAAATTAAAGCATTTTTTGAGCAAGAAAAAAAAGCGTGTCTAATTAAAGAGTGAATTGTGTTCATTCTGATTTTGAGTAAAGTTGGCCATATTGGAGTTTTTCCTTTGGATGATATCTGGATACATAAGCATGATGAAATTGAGAAGCATAATCATTTTCAATGAATCCTAAATTACCCTTAGAATGGAAGGTTGTGGGAAGCATTCATTCTGCTTCAGTCCTTAATATCCAGTTACAGCTACTTCTGATTCTCTTCATTCTTTGGGAAAGACTAGGCTTTCTATTTAGCAACCAATCCAGGAACTTGATTTCACCACACTAACCACATCTTCCTTCTCCATGTCGTACTTGTATGTTTTTGGTCCTGAAAAGAAGTAAACGTAGCCTAAAAGAGACAAAGTTGAGATTGTGATTATCATGAAGAAATAAAAGACAGAATTTGTAACTGCAACCTTCTTGAGATAGTACCAGTGGAAAGCTGGGAATTTGTCGGGTTCCAGTTGACTAGACCTATACTCATCTTCTGGGGATTCCTACAACTGGACATCTCAAACTACATTATCTTTCATTTTTGTCTTTGGTCTAGGCAGGGGATAGCGTCCCTTTGAGGTCAGCCATATACGTCATGCTCAATTATAGATTCCTCAAGGAACTCATATTCCATCTTTCCTGCTTCTAGTTAAATCTCTGGCCATTCTTCAAAATCCAGTTGGAATCCCACCATGAAATCTCCAGGTACTGCCACTGATTTTCATATTTTCTTTCTCAGCTCACCTTTGTAATTATTATGAAGATAATACTACATGACAACTCAATATTAAATTATAGAATGTCTTGTTATCTAGTAATTTCATATCTATTAGATGAATAAATGTTCATTTTCCCAAAGATTCTGGTCATTCCTGAAGAACAAACTTTCCTGGCATTCTTTTACAGTGTCCAGTCCTCTGCTAATATTCGAGAAAGATATGATTGACTCAACTCTCTCTCTTATTGTGATCAATTGGAACAGACTTACAGCTAACCGTTCTCTAGCAAATTTTAAGAAGCTGTAAAGTGCGTGGGGAGGAGACTGCCCATCTTTCTCCTAGGGAGAAACTGGTGGATTAGAATCGCCTGCCTTTGCGTTGACAGCATAGCTCTTTACCTTTGAGGCATCAGAGCTCCCTGACTGATTCAATGGATTTAATTACATTTTTCCAGTTCAGTACAATTCAACATTCTCAACTTAGTGTTAAAGTTCAAGAACGGGAGTAACGAGGTACTGGAGAGAGGTACTAGACAGATGACAAAGGTGATTTTTATCTGGGTAGATTTTATGGTCTAGCTGATGAATGGATCAAATCTATAATTTCACAACTTTTGTGTTTGCAAGGAGGACCACAGTGATTTATCTTTTCTAGTGGTTCTTTCTAGTAAATAGTCTCCTTAGCTAAGTTTGTAAATCAACAAGGACTATCATTTGGAAACTCTTTTCTATTGTATCAAAGAAAAGCCCAGATGTTTTGCTAAGTTTCCCCAAGGAAATTTTTGGGGAAACACTCACCATTTAATTCCACAGCAGCATCTATTTGACCAATTACTCCTGAAAATTCTTCTTCAGTATTCTTTGGATAGTCTTTTTCCATTTTCATTTTCCTTTCATCAAAGCTGAAAAAAAGTATTATTAGCTCAGAAGTAATAACAATGAGAAGTTTTTCTTGGTTTTGGATGTTCAGACAGATTTAACCAGGTATAGTGAGGATGGAACAGGACAGGACAGGGTTTAGATCTACTGTTGATACAATCATATGAGTTGTACTTTACTAAATAACACTCAACAGCAACAAAAATTCAAAACTTACTATGTAGATTTTTTTCTCTCACACATTGTTTCAGGAATTCATGTCCCATCTTTTCTTCTCCCAGTTAAATCTCTAGCCATTCTTGAAAATCCAGTTGGAATCTCACTCTGAAATCTCTAGGTACTGCCACTGATTTTGTGTACGGAACACATAAACTTTTAAAAATTAATTTCTGTTTTTGTTAATTCCTATCAAGTTGACAACAACTCACAATGAGATTGTGGACAGATAGAGACCTTGCTCTATCCTATATTATCTTCATAATCTCCACTGTGCTCAAATCCATTGCTGTAGTCCATCTCCTTGAGGCTCCTCCTTGTGAAATACCAAAACCAGATTAAGATTAAAAACTATTCTGCCATCCAGTTGTTTCCTACTGATAGCAACCCTCCTTAGAGTTTAGACACCTCTATTACTACTTTTTTTTTTTAGTTAGTGGGTGGTGCAAATAGTTAATCTGTTCAGCTATAAACTAAAATGGCTTGATTCTACCCACAGGTAGATGTAAAGACTGACCTGGAAATAGATTTCAGAAAGATCACTCTTTGAAATATAATTCTACTCTGACCCAATGGCTCACCAGAAGTCTGAAACTACTTGATCACAATTGTTTGTATTATTACTTTCCCAGATATTTGAGATTGTGGTACCAGCATGGGAATAATTTACACTAAAAAGCCTCTTCAAACATTTCTGGATATAGTGCCTAGAATTAGTCATTCTATATATCATAGTAACACATTCTTCTAATCCCTTAAAAATATTACCTTTCAAAAGAAACTGCGTATATTTTTAAATGGTTTATTATAATTATTCTTTCTCTCCATGTATAAACACCCTGACTTACCAAACAGTTGGAAATCTTTTATAGGTAGAAAGTATGCATTCATGGATTTATTGTTGTGTACTCATGGAGGAGAAATTGGACAAATAATGTATGCTGGATGAATAGACACATAAATGATCTACAGATATGATGCAAGAACAGCTAGAATAAGCCTCTGTCTTTTAAATACATTAAGAGAATTAAGTTGCTTTTGTTTCCCGGAAAGATAACAAGACTTGCTGAATAGTAAATTAGGTTTCTTTTTCTGGATGATCAGTCAGCCATTCAGTGAAATCTCTGAAGACTGGTAAACGCTTTTATGAGTCAGCATGCCATTCCCGCTTGATGGCAAAGCAGACACTCACTTCTGCAGTAAGAGTCATTTAAAGCGTGGGAAAGCCCATTCTTCATTAGCATAGCGCTCTCACGGGGACATTACAGGGTAGGCAGCCTGTTCCTTTTCCATTGAAAGGCCAGACAAATTCTCCTGACCTTTTCTGGGACTCTAGATCACACCCACCTTCTCCTGAAATGTGCCCCCTCATGTAGCTATGACTGTATAGACCAGAGGACAAATGCCTCATGCTATAACACAGCAGTCAAACTGAAAGAACAAATTATTCAGGCTGTTACTGACCAAGTCTTTGTACAGCTTTATGGGGTTTTGGGGGCAGAGGTTGAAGCTAACTCTCCTAAACTCTCTTCCTAGGAAAGTAATTAAAACCATCTTATAGGCCAAGGGGAACTCTTAGCTACATGAGTTATCTGAAGTAGAAAGGGAAAGGGAGATAATTTACTGTATTTCATTGTCAGCAGAAATACTAATAAAGTGGAGGTGCGGGTAGGGCACAGACACACTACTGTTATTTGTTGAGTATTGTTATAAGTAGAGTACAGCTCATGAAAATCCCATGTGTGTGGAGTAGAATGGCTCCATAGTGTTTTCAAGGCTAAGACATTACACAAGTCTTCTGAGACATGTCTGGTTGGGTTCAAACTGTCAACCTTTCCACCAGAAGTTGAGCCACTCATGGACTCTCAATCTTTTCTAGTTAGCAGTCAAGCACTTAACTATTCCCATACTATTGAAAGCAAAAAATGTAAAGCCCTAACCTACGACTATCCAGTTGCTTCTGACACATAGCAACCCTCTGTTGAATTTCTGCAACGAAATCTTTATAAGAGGAGACTCCTCAACTTTCATGGAGCATTTAAAAGAATTTCGAACTGCCAACCTTTGGGTTAGCATGGTAGCACGCAACATACTACTTTGTGAAAAGCAAAATTCAAATGAGACTTTTAATCTTCAGTCACATGAATAAAAAGCTAGACTTAATCCTTGGCAACATTGTGATACCAAATTGACGTCCTTCATCCTTTCTACCACTTTGGCACAAATGGTTAATTAAGTGCTTGACTACTAACCAAAAAAGTTGGGATTCAAACATATCCAGGAGCACCTTGGAAGACAGGCTGGTTGATATGTCTCTTAAAGCTCACAAGCCTTAATAACCTTTTGGTGCTCAGATCTACCAGCAGTAACAACACACATGGGCCTCCAAGCAAGGGAATTGACAATGCAGGAATTTACTGAAAACTTTCCACTAGCTCTTCTTCCTGCCCTCTTATCATACAACTACTTTCTAAAGAGAAATGTCTCTCAATGAATTTTCATTCACTGCACCAGTCTGACACACTAATCACAATTTTGAAGTTATCTGAAAATCTGCTATTATTTGAAAGATAGAAAGTCTAATGATGGCTTTTAGAAAATAATGTGCCACTGGAAGAAAGAAAACCGATATTTCTTATTGTTGTCATTCATGCCAAGTATTGTTTAGTGTAGTAATTCTTGTACTAAGTGAGAACATAATCATCAAATAATTTAAAAACTGTTATCTATTTTCAATATCATTTCACAAAGACAAGGGAATTTAACATCGAAGCAGAATAAAATATGGTTCTTGACAAGAATATATCTTTTCATTGATATTGTTCTCTCTGTATGTTCCCAAACATAGCTATAACATTGTGCTTGTTTTTCTTATTTTATGGACTGACGAAAACTGTGTGGTGAATTCTTTGGTTTTCAGACAAATATTTGTAGATTCTATCATGGAGCAAAGAATACCAGATATATAATCAGGTGGATCTGGGCTTGAAATTTGACTCTATAATTGTAACTAGCTCTGTGATCAGGAGATAGTACTCTGGGAAACAGTGGTCTGAAAGATAAGAAACAATTTATACAAAAAATGTGCAGACACATACACACATGCCTGCCACATGTAGACACCCAGGTCAGACCAAGCCATAAGATACAATAGTTTCTTTATACTAAAGAATAATGAACACTGGCTTATTTACATGAGGTAAATAGATGCTAAGTCATAGAGGAGTTTAATATTTATCTAATCTTTAAACAAAGTTTATTGGGATCTTCTTGTTCAGTAGTAGGCAAAACTGAGAAGGGGGAAGAAAAGAAAGGAGAAGATATGATATTTTAAGTAGTTTAGGGAAATAAGTCAGAAAAGAGATTAACAAGATTTACTCACATGCTGAAGATCTTGCAAAAAGGATAAAAGGAAAGGAGATTATATCACAAGATGAAACTCATTGAGAAAGATCTGTAAATATAGATTCAGAGAACTTGAGTTGTATCCTCTAATTGATCACTTTTTACCTGTGTGAATTTAAGCATTTAAACTTTCTAGAGCAAAGTGCTTTTAACTGTCAAATGGAGAAAGTAGTAATTACTTCTTAAGACTGTCGAGAAAGAAAATAGGAAAAGAAAAAATAATATAAAAAAGAATTCAGTATGATTCTTGGTATATAAGCCATCAATACAAACTTAACATGAACATGAAATAAGTGTTCATTTATCATCTCCATTTTAGATACATTTCTCATCATTGAGACCTTGTTTGTGAAACCTAAATATAGAACTAGAAATGCTTACTATTCAACTGTTTCTTTCCTTTATAGGCAAATATAATGGTTAATGAACGGAGAGATTAAATGAATCATTGCTGATCGTCAAACATTACCAGTGATAACATAGTTCTACAGATCTCAGGTAACTTTTCAGATATGCTATTTTTCCTCTCTGCCTTCGTAATCTAAGGACTTGGAGACTATTTTGGAAAAGGGCCTGCTTCCCCCCCCCCCACTTTGATGTATACATATGGAACATAGATTTGCTAGGAATTTCTGGTGTTTTGACTGTGATGATTTCTGACTTCTTTGGAATACTAAATAGGGAGCTGAATCTTAGAGAATGTGAGGGGGGAAAATAGCAAAAGGGTGAATGTAATGATTCCTTTACCACCTGGGACACATGCTTTCATAAAGTTTATTATAGGTTACCTTTCCAATGTGAATCAGGAGGTGACAATGAAAAGGAAACCTAGAATTTCTCTGTGAGGTTAATAATATATTTTTAGTTAGGAGCTCTGTGGTTTTTCCTGGTGAAAGGGTTCTTTGTTGTCTACTCACCAGCTGCTCTGTGGGAGAAGGATGGGTGCTCTCCTCCTGAGCAATTGACTGTCTCTGAAATCTCTTTGGAGGGTCAGCTACAGGTCAGTTCTGACTCAATGGCACACAACAACAACAACAACTAGAGAAGAGAAGAAAAGGAGTTAAGGAATTAAGTGTCTAGGAATGAAGAAAAAAGAGCAAAGAAGATATGATGTGCCAACCCGGGTAGAGCTTAGCAAGTAGGACTCCATGGAGAAAATGATCAATGACTTGTAGAAGGTTCTGGAACAAAGAGTTTGTAACAATGGAGGAGAATATCAATGTTAAAGAGAAAATATTAGCATACTAATGTACATATTTAATTACATATTGTTATGGGGAAACCTAGGGAAGAGAACAGAAAAAAAATTAAAATGATCTTTTTTTGTACTAGTAATGGGAGGATTTTATTTTTTATATTTTCCCCATTCTCTAAATAAGCATCCCATTCTATCTTTGGTTCC